AAAAGAGAAAGAGAGAAATAGATAAAATATTATTGAACTTGAAGAAATAGCAACAGAAACCACCTAAATTAAAAAAAAGATGAAAAAAAACATAGAGCATCAGTGAGTTATGGGACAACTTTATCTGGTCTAATAGACATGTAGTTGAGTTCCTAAAGGCTGGAGTTGGGGACAAAAAGGTATTTGAAGAAACAATGGCTGAACATTTTCCAAATGTATTAAAACTAAAACCCATGAGCCAAGAATCTCAGTGAACACCCAATAATAAAAAACATAAACTACATCAAGGAACATAATAGTCAAATTGTTTAAAAGCAGTGATAAAGAGAAATCTCAAAAGTAGCCAGAGAAAAAAGATAAATTATGTACAAAGGATTATTTAAGAATAAGAGCAGACCTCTCAAACCAGTGTGAGTCAAATGATAATGTAGAAATATCTGTAAAATGTTGAAAGAAAATGTCAATCTAGAATTCTGCCCTGAGCAGAAACATATTACCAAATGAATGAAAAGAGACTTTATAAAAAAGTTGAAATAAGACATCACTAGTAGATCTGAAGCACACACAAAAAAGGTTAAAGGTAGTCCTCCAGGGAGAGGTTAAAGGTAGTCCTCCAGGGAGAGGTTAAAGGTAGTCCTCCAGGGAGAGGTTAAAGGTAGTCCTCCAGGGAGAGGTTAAAGGTAGTCCTCCAGGGAGAGGTTAAAGGTAGTCCTCCAGGGAGAGGTTAAAGGTAGTCCTCCAGGGAGAGGTTAAAGGTAGTGTCCTCCAGGGAGAGGTTAAAGGTAGTGTCCTCCAGGGAGAGGTTAAAGGTAGTGTCCTCCAGGGAGAGGTTAAAGGTAGTGTCCTCCAGGGAGAGGTTAAAAGTAGTCCTCCAGGGAGAGGTTAAAGGTAGTCCTCCAGGGAGAGGTTAAAGGTAGTCCTCCAGGGAGAGGTTAAAGGTAGTGTCCTCCAGGGAGAGGTTAAAGGTAGTCCTCCAGGGAGAGGTTAAAGGTAGTCCTCCAGGGAGAGGTTAAAGGTAGTCCTCCAGGGAGAGGTTAAAGGTAGTCCTCCAGGGAGAGGTTAAAGGTAGTCCTCCAGGGAGAGGTTAAAGGTAGTGTCCTCCAGGGAGAGGTTAAAGGTAGTCCTCCAGGGAGAGGTTAAAGGTAGTCCTCCAGGGAGAGGTTAAAGGTAGTCCTCCAGGGAGAGGTTAAAGGTAGTCCTCCAGGGAGAGGTTAAAGGTAGTCCTCCAGGGAGAGGTTAAAGGTAGTCCTCCAGGGAGAGGTTAAAGGTAGTCCTCCAGGGAGAGGTTAAAGGTAGTCCTCCAGGGAGAGGTTAAAGGTAGTGTCCTCCAGGGAGAGGTTAAAGGTAGTGTCCTCCAGGGAGAGGTTAAAGGTAGTCCTCCAGGGAGAGGTTAAAGGTAGTGTCCTCCAGGGAGAGGTTAAAGGTAGTGTCCTCCAGGGAGAGGTTAAAGGTAGTGTCCTTCAGGGAGAGGTTAAAGGTAGTGTCCTCCAGGGAGAGGTTAAAGGTAGTGTCCTCCAGGGAGAGGTTAAAGGTAGTGTCCTCCAGGGAGAGGTTAAAGGTAGTGTCCTCCAGGGAGAGGTTAAAGGTAGTCCTTCAGGGAGAGGTTAAAGGTAGTGTCCTCCAGGGAGAGGTTAAAGGTAGTGTCCTCCAGGGAGAGGTTAAAGGTAGTGTCCTCCAGGGAGAGGTTAAAGGTAGTGTCCTCCAGGGAGAGGTTAAAGGTAGTGTCCTCCAGGGAGAGGTTAAAGGTAGTGTCCTCCAGGGAGAGGTTAAAGGTAGTCCTCCAGGGAGAGGTTAAAGGTAGTCCTCCAGGGAGAGGTTAAAGGTAGTGTCCTCCAGGGAGAGGTTAAAGGTAGTCCTCCAGGGAGAGGTTAAAGGTAGTGTCCTCCAGGGAGAGGTTAAAGGTAGTCCTCCAGGGAGAAGTTAAAGGTAGTGTCCTCCAGGGAGAGGTTAAAGGTAGTCCTCTAGGGAGAGGTTAAAGGTAGTGTCCTCCAGGGAGAGGTTAAAGGTGGTGTCCTCCAGGGAGAAGTTAAAGGTAGTCCTCCAGGGAGAGGTTAAAGGTAGTGTCCTCCAGGGAGAGGTTAAAGGTAGTCCTCCAGGGAGAGGGAAAATGACATCAGATAAAAATTCTGATCTACACGAAGAAATAAAGAGCCAAAATTTTTTTAAGTGAGTAAATATAAAATACTCTTTTTATTAATTTAAAAATCTCTTGAAAATATATTTTACTGCTTAAAGCAAAAGAAATAATAACTTGGCATCCCAAGGTTTATAATGTGTGGAAGTAAAGTGTATTAAAGCCATAGTACAAAGGCCAAGAGGGACAAAGTGAAAGGATACGTTGTAAGATTTTTTTTTTTTTTTTTTTTGAGACGGAATTTCGCTCTTGTTACCCAGGCTGGAGTGCAATGGCGCGATCTCAGCTCACTGCAACCTCCGCCTCCTGGGTTCAGGCAATTCTCCTGCCTCAGCCTCCCGAGTAGCTGGGATTACAGGCACGCACCACCATGCCCAGCTAAGTTTTTGTATTTTTAGTAGAGACGGGGTTTCACCATGTTGACCAGGATGGTCTCGATCTCTTGACCTCGTGATCCACCCGCCTCGGCCTCCCAAAGTGCTGGGATTACAGGCTTGAGCCACCGCGCCCGGCCAACGTTGTAAGATTTTTATACTACACATGAAGTTGTATAATTTATTTGAAGGTAGACTGTGGAAAGCTAGCGAATATCTATAAACTGTACAAAAAGCTCTAGAAGTAAAAATGTAAACAACAGCGTGGTCACACAAGCAACGAGGGAGATAAAGTAGAATGATACAAACCATTCAGTAAATTCAAAAGCAGCCAGAAAAAGCAGAAAAATAACCCATTTACAGATTTAAAGTCGTATTGATAATCATAGCCTACTTAGCAAAGCTCTGTTGGGATGAAAAGGAAAAGGCATTCTGACCCTCCACGTCACAAACTGGACTGTGGAGATGGTGGCTCAGAAGACAAACAAGGGGCTGGAGCACCTTGTCAAAGCAGAGAAATACCTGAAAACCTGTTTTTAATGGAAGCCAAATTATGACAGTGCTGCTTCTGAATATGGAAAATATATTTAAAATAACAATAACATTAAATGTAAATAAAATTTTCAATTAGAAGGAAGAGATAGCCTGATTGACTAAAAAAGTAAGACACAAGTGTATGTTGCTTGTGGAAACCCACGTTAAATGTAAAGTGAAAAACATTAAAACTAGCCTGGGCACAGTGGTTCACCCTGTAATCCCAGCACTTTGGGAGGCCAAGGCTCTAGAGGATCTCTTGAGGCCAGGAGTTCAAGACCACCCTGGTCAAAATAGCATGACCCTATCTTCAAGAAAAAGAAAACTAAAAGTGTGGCAAAAGATATACTATGTTTAAACCAATCAAAATAAAATGTTAACTATAAGTGACAGAATATATATTTTGAAAGGTCTAAAAGATTGTATACACACTCCCAGTGATTATCTCTGGGTTACAGATATAAGTAACTTTCGTTTTTTGTTTTCTTAAGTGTACTGTTCTTTGTCTTCCAATTATTCCGTCATAAGTTTATGGGGATTGGAGGAGCGTTTGTTTTTAAATAGAGATGAGGTCTCACAATGTTGCTCTCAAACTCCTGGATAAAGTGATCCTCCCATTTTGGCCTCCCAAATTATCGGGATTACAGGTATGAGCCACTGTGCCCAGCCTGTTGTGTTTAGTATCAGAAAAATAAATGCTTTTAAAACAGAAGAATATTTTCTGAGAATATACTAAGCTGTCACTGCTATGTCATAATTGCTCTTTAGAGTAATGAAGGCAAAAGATCCCTCTCTTTATTTCATTTATTTAATGGATATTTATTGTGTGCCTATGTGCCAGGTGCTAGGTGCTAGAAACACAATGGTAAGCAAAAAGATAAAGTCATTGCCTCCTATAGCTTACAGTTTAGAGGGAGAATCAGACGTGGGGAAGCCATATAACCCCACTAGTGAATTTTCTTTTTTTTTTTTTTTTTTTGAGATGGAGTTTCACTGTTGTTACCCAGACTGGAATGCAATGGCATGATCTCGGCTCATCGCAACCTCCGCCTCCTGGGTTCAAGCAATTCTCCTGCCTCAGCCTCCCGAGTAGCTGGGACTATAGGCACACACCACCATGCCCAGCTAATTTTTGTATTTTTAGTAGAGACGGGGTTTCACCTTGTTGACCAGAATGGTCTCCATCTCTTGACCTTGTGATCCACCCGCCTTGGCCTCCCAAAGTGCTGGGATTAGAGGCGTGAGCCACCACGCCCGGCTGAATTTTCATTTTTAAACTGTGATGGGGACTAGAAAGGAGAAGGATATGGTATAGTGGGAGCATATAACAGGGACGTGACCAAGACTGGGGTAACAGGGCAGTATCCCAGAAGTCACTTCTGATCTGAGATCCAAAGGAAGAGGGATGGGAGGAAGCAAACTAGGACCATCTAAATCCTTCCCAGAGGTTTTTCTAGCTGGAGTTGACAAAAAAGAACTCTCTTCTCTGGGAAGAGAGAAGCTGTATCTTCTGCTACATGGAGGAAGCCCATTTTTTACTTGATAGAAGGAAATCAACCCATAAAAAGAAGCTAAAGACTACTGGGCTTTTTAAAAGACTTTTTTTTTTTTTACTATTTTAGTTTTTATTAATAAAATAGAAACCCCCAGCACTTTGGGAGGCCGAGGTGGGCGGATCACAAGGTCAAGAGATCAAGACCATCCTGACCAACATGGTGAAACCCCATCTCTAAAAAAAAAAATAAATTAAATTAAATAAAATAGAAACCCAAACTCAGACAACTGCTTTATTCTTGCATCTAATCTGACCATATATGGGAGTAGCAATTCTTTATAAAAGGACTTAGGTGAGAATTATCAATATAACAGTTCCATCAAAAACTCTAGGTTGGGTATCTTAAAAAGAGCAAATTAAATATGAGAAAGCATAGAAATCTCTCCCTCAAACAAAGGGGGCCTCCTTTACTAGTCTTTAATATAGCTCATTTGCAATCATATGAAAATCCATCAGGATCAATCATGTTGCATAATCCCTAAAGGATAAAACTGAGGGAACTGATGGTTCATTTTCACAGCTTCATTGTAAAGTCCAAGGTCAAAAGGTTGGTTATCTTCTTTAAACTGGACATAAGATGTACCCATGATGGTCATCTTGGCAGTTACTTTTCCAACCACTTCCATAATTCCAGATATTTCTTCATCAAGGGGTTCCATCAACTCAATGGTTCCATATTTTCCTTCCTCATCTGAAAGAATAAACGTTTTTCTGGTGGGATGAATCTTTTCCAGCTTCCCTATGAAGCAGACAGGCTTGTCGATGAACTGAGTCAGCTGCCGGTGTTGAGGCGCAACCTGGGCGCCTCCATCATGTCCACCGCGATTATATGGTCCAAGACTGCGGTGGGTGGGAAACCCACAGATGACTGAACTAAAAGACTTTTTTAAGAGTAGTTATAGGTTCACAGCAAAAGTGAGAGGAAGGTACAGAGATATCCCATATGCCCACACCTGCCTCTGCACATACATAGCCTCTCTCATTCTCAACATTCCCCACCAGAATGTACAAAATGGTACATTTGTTACAATAGCACCCAGAATCCTTAGTTTACATTAGGGTTCACTCTAGTATTGTACATTCTATGGGTATGGACAATCATATAAGGACATGTATCCATGATTATAATATCGTATAGAGTAGTTTCCCTGCCCTAAAAATCTTTTGTGATGTGCCTATTCAACTCCCCAAACCCCAACCCCTAGCAACCACTGATCATTTTATTGTCTTTATAGCTTTGCCTTTATAGAGTGTCATATAGTTGGAATCAGACAGATGCAGACTTTTTAGATTAGCTTTTTTCACTTTGTAATATATATCTGGAGTTCCTCCATGTCTTTTCATAGCTTAGCTTGATGGCTCATTTCTTTCTAATGCTGAATAATATTCCATTGTATAGATTAACCCATTCACCTACTGAAGGACATCTTGGTTGCTTCCAAGTTTTGACAATTATGAATAAAGATGCCATAAACATCCATGTGCTGGTTTTTGTGTAGATATAAATTTTCAACTTCATTGGGTACATACCAAGAAATGTGATTGCTGAATCATGGGTAAGATATATTTAGTTTTAGAAGAAACTGCAGAACTGTCTTCCAAAGTGGCTGTACCTATCAGTAAGGAAGGAGAGTTGCTGCTTCTCCACATCTCTACAGCATTTGGTGTTGTCAATTGTGGTGTTCACGTCGAGGTCGCCACCTAAAATGTTGATCACGACCTGCGGGGGTCTGTACTGCAAACCCTGACTCCATAGCGGATGAATAAAATACACTGTCATACCAGACTACAGTGGGCTAAGGAGGTCGTCAGCTGCTCTCAGAAGACAATTGCAGCTACCCGACCCCTTACTAGCTATTCTGCCTTGCATTTATTCAGTATAGATTTAATGACAAAGGTTGTAAGTCAACACGCTTGTGGATAATTATCATGGTTAAACGAGTGGTTTTACAAATGATAAACCCTTTCGGTTCCAAGGCCTAGAGCAAACACCACTAATGGGTATCCCCCTTCACCTCCCCCTGAGAGAATCATCCAGCACAAAGTTTACATGAGTAAACAAGCAGTTAAATAGAGAATAAAGTTAAAGGAATGTGGGATAAACAGACTTAACTGGTGAAGCTTCTGTTATGCCTAATCTTCACCCTATGACCTAATGCTCTAACGTAAGGACTGGCTGCCTTCAGCCTGTGCTATTGAAAGCTTTTGGCCTTCCAGAAGGTTGAGACTATAATCTTACAACTTTCCCTAATATTTCTCTTAATATTTTGCCTACCACCCTGAGTGAATCTCAACATTTCCCCCTCTTCGGTTATTGATATCAGGCTCTGTCGTGTGATTGCCACTGATGCATTCAGCCATGTGTCTGTCAGGCAAGGTGGTCATTGCTCTTAGTCGGGCTTTGCATCCTTGAATGAACAAATAACAGAAGACTGTGATATAGCTGGCCTAGAGTTAGAACCTGTACAATGCCATTTGATAAAGAGACAAAACTGTTTCCATTCTCCTCACAATGACTGCTAGCCATGGCCTCTGTAAACTGCCAAGTTTACTTTGCAGAATGCAGAGAGGGAAAGCTGCATACCTTCTCTTATCTGTAACTGCCAGAATTGCTGGCCTTTGTTTACTGGTACTGACCAGAGTAAGCACCCCCAGATAATTCCATCCTGGCGCCAAGCAACTAAAAAATTATGTGGACCCCACACCTGCCCAAATAATGTATAAACTAATGTTTATCTTAACTTCTGTAAACCTCTTAAGTGGCAATTGGAATGACAAAAGTCCCCTGGCCCTTGGAATGTCCCGAGTCCCCTCACCCTCGTCTTAGCCTAGGAGGTGATTGACAGCTTTCATTCCCATCTCCACTCTTCACTCCCACTCCCAAGGTGGTTTTGCGGGTATAAAAAGGTCTTGTCACCCTTCTTTCTCTGCCATGGGTTGGAGAGATGTGAGTCCTCCATGGTCGCCGCAATAAACCCCGCAATTTGGCATACTTTTTCCTGGTGCTGACTTTCTATGCTCGGTCCCATACAACAAGACTATTATGAGAACAATTAGCAGCATTATTTTCCAGTCAAAGAGTGACTCCCAGGAGCGCGGTCTAACCAGAGGAGATGATCTTGCGCACCTTGCCATATGACTGTTTGTTGGCTGTGTAGATCCACAGTGTGAAGGGATTCTAAAATTTTAGTTACGTCTGCGGTTAAATGGTCTTGAAAAATTCTCTACACGTGTTGTTTCACCTCATCCCAGCTATGTACCGACTCAGTAACAGATGTTACAGCAGTGCTGGCAGTTGCCAGGATGACTCTGGCTGAGACTATACAGGCTTTAAGTGTAACGATGAACCTTTTGTGTCTGACCTGAAGTGTTACTTGACATCTCAGTTTACTGTATGCCATTAATGAGGAACTTTATTGGGGGCAAGTTAATTTTTTAGCTAAACAGTCGCGTTGTTAGAAGCTGTGAAGGGGGTGTTAGTTTAAGTTACAGGGCAGAAAAATGTGGATTCAGAAGATGTGCTCAGTAGAGTGTAGCAGGTACAGGTTGCAGGCAAAGTGAGAATTAAAAAGAAACAAATCCTAAGCAGGGTTCGCTTAGCCTTCTGAGTTGTCTTCTTCAGCATTCCTCAGGTGATGTCCAGGCTTGTGTCATCCTGTGGGGTCTTTCCTAGGCTGGCTCAAGTTTTTTCTACTTTCCATCTTTTGATGAGGATACGGTCTCTTGGCAGGTGCTGGTGTACTGGAAATTCCAGAAGTGATGCATGTGCTAAGAGATCTTTTATTATCTTTGTAAAAGAGCAGGTTAGTGCTTTTTCAAAAACCTGTTGTACTTTATCTTAATGTCTAGTTTACAGAAAAACCAGGTGATACTTCTTTAACTTTTAACCAATATGTTTACACACAGAATTCCTTTTGTAATTAAGATTTTAAAACTTGCTTAGACCTTCAAAACAAAATTCATACAACCTATTTGCATAAATTCCTTTCTATAACATTTTTCACGGCTTTCACCGACAAACTCAGACATGCCTTAACTTTCTTTGTTTTAGAAACTTCCTTACTAAAGCTACATTCTTATAGCTTTAACTTTCTTTATCTTTCTTTCTCTACTTCCTACTCTATCTTCTCTGCCTTGCTTTCTGTGCTTCTCTTTCTTTCTTTGCCTCCTGTCTCTCTTTTTTTACACTATCTCTTTCATTAGTCTCACTTGCTGTATCTCTCGTTGATCTCTGTCTGTTCTAGTCTTTTTTCTTACTTATTCTTTCTTTCTATTTTTCTCTCTAATCTTTCTGCTTCTGCCTGTCTTGGTCAAGCAGTGATGTCATCACTTGTAACTCTGCTTGTTCATTGCCATAAGCTAATGGGCCAGGCAGTGGGCTGTGGGCTGGAGATTAGACTTCACTAAAGCTGTTTCAAGGCTTTGTAGTAGATAAACTGAGTAAGCCGTCACTTACTGTATTTATGGGCTGAGTGGAACAAGTTGTTAAGGCCAGCATCACAGCTTTAATCTCAGCTCTCTGACTGCTAGTAAACTTAGATTGGGTGATTGAACTATGTGGTCTCTACCAGACTGCAGCTTTTCCTTGTTTACCTGATCTATCAATAAATAGTATTAAAGCATTAGGTATGGAGAAGTGCTGTATTGCTTTGAATTACTCTTAAAGGAATCTTGATATTAGGATCGTAACCTAGCAACTAACTGTAAATTCATTAGGATGGCAAGCTGAAATTAGTAACATGAAACTGAAAAGGAAATCTGAAAATATCTCTTGAAGCAGAGACTTAAATAATATACCTTAACCATGTGCTTAAAGCCACAGACAGAATAGCTTAAATCTTGCAATTGAGTTTTCAGGCTAAAATTATGGACCTTAACTTGCAAACAGTTCTGAAAACAGTGGCTTACTAGCAGGGCAAAGACTATCTTTAGTCAGTGAGGCAAGACAGTCCTTTATGCGTATGTTTCTACTACACGTACATACGAATTTCTTTCAATTTCTGAGAATGGACACAACATTTTTACTTCTTAATTCAACATATACTATTTAATTTGGTTTAAAGTTCTCTTTTAAAGGGTAATGTGTGGTTTTACATGCTTTGTTTTTAATTGCTTTTTAACTGATTTGTGGGCCTTCTGTCATTTCTCCCCTTTCAGAGGTTACTGTTTCACTTAACTTGGATTTTAAAAGAGGCACATTAAGGGTAAGAGAGAAGTAACAATGGCCATTATCAGAATTTTAAACTTAACTTGAATTTTAGCAGAGAATAACAATTTGGGATGTTGCTTGTATACAAAGAACACAAGAAATTTCACTGTGGGACATCGGCGGAGCCAGAGTCAGTGGTGCTGTCCAGGATGGCAGCCGCTTCCGCTGCTTCCTCCCGCCACCACCCCGCCTGGGCAGAGCCTGTCGTCTGCATCACCTCCAGCTTTTTCTGCTGCTGAGCTTCCCCCACCCCCACCCCACCCCCACTGTCGCCCACGCCCACTTTTTTTCCCTTTTCTTTTGCCGGCTTGGCTGCAGGGACAGTCCTTGCTTGCCCTGCTCCTTCTTCCTGCCCTGGGCTGCGACGGGGCGGGCCTTTCTGCCCGCGACCTCCTGCCCCTACTTAGCTGCTATCTCTGGTGCGCCGGGCTTGGCCCCTAGCTGGGCAGGTTGACTTCCTGGGAGCATTTGCTGGCACCGAGTCTTTTCTGAAGCTGCTCGCTGCCCGGGCCCAGGCAATAGCTGCCGGCTTGGGCAGAGCTTTCCTGCCTGAGCCTCTAATTCCTTTTTTCTTACCGTTGTGTAAACATACACCTGATTGCCTTGCTGATCGTCCATTCCTGGGCAGACTAAGAGTTCCTCCTCTGATGCTGCTTGCTTAAGACAAGGACCTATAGCTGTAGCGTCTTTGTCTTTTTTCCTATTCATTGGAGGAGACGGCTCAGGGAGAATTTCTGTCTCCTCTGTGACACTTTTACTCGTTAATGGTGGCACTGAGAGAGAAAGAGCCGGTAAGGTAGATGAGGGTTCCCCCTCCTCCCCCTTTTTAGGTAATGTTAGAGATGTTACTGGGACCTATTGCCTTTGTGCATGATTTTTCCTCACTTGTTCCCAGAGCTTTACATCCTGGCAGAGAGCACACTGGGCCTGGTGGCTCATGCCTGTAATCCTAGCACTTTGGGAGGCCGAGGCAGGCAGATCACCTGAGATCAGGAGTTCAAGACCAGCCTGGTCAACATGGTAAAACCTTGTCTCTACAAAAAAATACAAAAACTAGCTGGGCGTGGTGGTGGGCACCTGTAGTCCCAGCTACTTGGGAGGGTGAGGCAGGAGAATCACTTGAACCAGGAAGGCAGAGGTTGCAGTGAGCCAAGATGGCACCAATGCACTCCAGCCTGGGCAACAGAGTGAGACTTCAACTCAAAAAAGCAAATAAATAAAAGGAAAAAAGAAACTAAAGCCCAGATAAGTCAAATATATTACCCAAAGGGGCCCAGCAGAGGAGTGACAACCCAGCTTAGAAACTCCGCCTCACTGTAAGGAGTGAGATTATCTGCCCTCCCATTTCCTCTGAATTGCCATCTCTAGATGGCTCTGAACCTTTCCTCTGCCCTCCCTCTCCCACATCCAGCCACTCTGCTCATGGAGAAAGGCACATCAGAGCTCACTTCTGGTATCTCAGCCCCATACTGGACCTGTGTAGCTCCTATTCTGTGTGGGATGCTCTCCTCTTCTCCCTCAGATCTAATGTGGAAACCCTCCTAC